CCGAGGGAAGGGGGGGGGGATATCGGGGAAGGGGAGGGAAGTGGGGGGGATATCGGGGAAGGGCGATCCCCTCCGAGGGAAGGGGGGGGGGGATATCGGGGAAGGGCGATCCCCTCCGAGGGAAGGGGGGGGGATATCGGGGAAGGGCGATCCCCTCCGAGGGAAGGGGGGGGGATATCGGGGGAAGGGCGATCCCCTCCGAGGGAAGGGGGGGGGGGATATCGGGGAAGGGCGATCCCCTCCGAGGGAAGGGGGGGGGATATCGGGGAAGGGCGATCCCCTCCGAGGAGAAGGGGGGGGGATATCGGGGGGGAAGGGCGATCCCCTCCGAGGGAAGGGGGGGGATATCGGGGAAGGGCGATCCCCTCCGAGGGAAGGGGGGGGGGATATCGGGGAAGGGCGATCCCCTCCGAGGGAAGGGGGGGGATATCGGGGAAGGGCGATCCCCTCCGAGGGAAGGGGGGGGGATATCGGGGAAGGGCGATCCCCTCCGGGGTTTTTTAAAGGGGGGGGATCGGGGGGGGGGGGATATCGGGAAAGGGCGATCCCCTCCGAGGGAAAGGGGGGGGATATCGGGGAGGGCGGATCCTCGATCCCCAGAGGAAGGAAAGGGGTGTGGCACTCCTCTATAGGGGGATTGGTATATGGGGGAGGAAATGCTCTGTAGGGGTGGAGATATCGGGGGGGTCTCTTCTACAGGGGTCAGTATGGGGGTCTCCTCTATTGGGTGTGGTATCGGGGGGGAGGGGATGTTCTGTAAGGGGGGGAGGGGGGTCTCCTCTATAGGGTGTGGTATGGTGGAGGGGATGCTCTGTGGGGGGGGCTCCAATATAGGGGGCGATAATGCTCTGTGGGGAGGTTCTCCTCTATAGGGGTTGGTATTGGGGATGCTCTATCTGTGGGGGGGAGCTCCTCTATAGGGGCAGTATAGGGGAGGGGGGGATCGTCTCTATAGGTGGTCGTTTGAGGGAAGAGGATGCTGTGTGTGTGTGTGGGGGGGGGTCTCTTCTATAGGGGGGGGGGTAACACTGTGCAGATGGGGGGGGGGGGGGGTCACCTCTATAGATGGGTTGTATGGAGGAGGGGAGCTCCTCTACAGGGGTGGGGGGTAGTCTCCTCTGTAGGGGCCGGAATGGGGTCTCCACTATAGGGGTCGGTATGACGGGGGGGGGGTCCCTATAGGCGCCGGTATATGGGGGGGGGGGTCTCCTCTATAGTGGCCAGCATGGGGGAAGGGGATGCTCTTGGGGGGGGGGGGGGTCCTCCTATATAGGGTCAGTATGGGGAAGGGAGGTCTCCTCTATAGGGGTTGTATGGGGATGTTCTGTGTGGGGGAGGAGAGGGGCCTCCTTTATAGGGGGGGCGGTATGGGGGGGAAGGGTATGCTCTGTGTGCGTTGGAAGGGGGGTCCCTTCTATAGGGGGCGGTATGGGGGAGGGGGTCTCCTCTATAGTGGCCAGCATGGGGGAAGGGGATGCTCTTGGGGGGGGGGTCCTCCTATATAGGGTCAGTATGGGGAAGATAGGTCTCCTCTATAGGGGTGTGGTATGGGGATGTTCTGTGGGGGAGGAGAGGGGCCTCCTTTATAGGGGGCGGTATGGGGGGGAAGGGTATGCTCTGTGTGCGTTTGGAAGGGGGTCCCTTCTATAGGGGGCGGTATGGGGGAGGGGGGTCTCCTCTATAGTGGGTCGGTATGGGTGAAGTGGGGGGGGGGGGGTCTCCTCTATAGGGGGTGGAATGGGGGAGAGGATGCTCATGGGGGGGGGGGGGTCTCCTTTATAGGGGGCAACATGCGGTCTCCTCTATAAGGATTGGTATAGAGGAAGAGGGGGTCTCCTCTATAAGGGGTGGTATACAGGAAGGGGATGCTCGGAGGGGGGGGATCTACTCTATAGGGGTCAGTAAGGTGGAGGGGGTTCCTCTATAGGGGCGAATGGGCGAAGGGTTTCATCTATGGGGACGGTATCCTCTATAGAGGGGAGTATGGGGAAAGGGGGGCGCTATAGGGGTCGTCTTCTCTATAGGGGTTGGTATGGGGGGAGGGAATGCCTCGGGGGGGGGGGGGGGTCTCCTCTATAGGGGATAGTATCGGGGAAGGGAATGCTCTGTAAGGTGGGGGGGGTCTAATCTACAGGGGTCAGTATGTGGGAGAAGGGGGGGGTCTCCTCTATAAGGTGTGGTATGGGGGAGGGGATGCTCTGTGGAGGGGACTCCATTATAGGGGGGGGTGGTAATGCTCTGTGGGGGGGTATCCTTTATAGGGGCCATATGGGGAGGGTCTCCTCTACAGGGGTTGGTATTGGGAAAGGGGATGCTCTGTGTGAGTGGGGGGGGGGGGGGGATCTCCTCTATAGGAGGCTGTATGGGGAAGGGAGGTCTCCTCTATAAGGGCGGTATAGGGGAGGGGGATCGTCTCTATAGGTGGTCATATGAGGGAAGGGGATGTTGAGTGTGTGTGGGGGGGGAGGGGGGGGTCTCCTCTATAGGGGGAGGGGACACTGTGCAGAGGGGGGGGGGGTTGGGGGGTGGGGGGATCAAGTCTATAGGGGGTTGTATGGAGGGGATGCTATGTGGGGGTAGGGGGGTTCCTCTATAGGGGGAGGTATGGGGGGGATGATCAATTTTGTAGAACTCGGGATGGGGGATCTCCACTATAGGGGTTGGTATGATGGAGGGGGGGTCCCTATAGGGTCCGGCATGGGGGAGGGGATGCTCTGTGGGGGGGGGGGGTCTCCTCTATAGGGGGCAGTATGTGGAAGGGGGGGTGGGTCTCCTCTATAGGGTGTGGTATGGAGGTGGGGGGTTGCTCTTGTGTGTGTGTTGGGGGGGGGGGGGGGGGGTCTCCTCTATAGGGTGTGGTATGGAGGAGGGGTTGCTCTGTGTGTTGTGTTGGGGGGGGGTCTCCTCTATAGGGTGTGGGTATGGAGGAGGGGTTGCTCTGTGTGTGTGTTGGGGGTGGGGGGGGGTGGGGGGGGGGGGTCTCTCTATAGGGTGTTGGTATGGAGGAGGGGTTGCTCTGTGTGTGTTTGTTGGGGGGGGGGTTTCTTCTATTGGGTGTGTGTGGTATGGAGGTGGGGTTGCTTGTGTGTGTGTTGGGGGGGGTGGAGTGGTCTCCTCTATAGGGTGTGGTATGGAGGAGGGGTTGCTCTGTGTGTGTTGTGGGGGGGGGTCTCTTCCTCTATAGGTTGTGGTATGGAGGTGGGGTTGCTCTGTGTGTGTGTTGGGGGGGGGTCTCCTCTATTTTATATGGGAGCGATATACTCTATAAGGGGCGGTATGGGGGAAAGGGGGGGGCCTCTATAGGGGTCGTCTCCTCTATAGGGGTCAGTGTGGGGGAGGGGGGGTTCCCCTCTATAGGGGTTGGTATTGGGGAAAGGGATGCTCTGTGGAGGGGGGGGGTCTCCTCTATAAGGATGCGATATGGGGAAGGGGGGGTCTTGTCTACAGGTGATGTATGGGGGGGTGCTCTGTGGAAGGGTGTCTCCTTTATAAAGGACAGTTTCTTCAATAGGGGTGGTACAGGGGGAGGGGATGCTCTGTGGCGGTGGGGGGAGGTCTCCTAAGCTGGTGGAATGAGGGAAGGGGGGTCTCCTATATATGGGAAGGGCGGCAGTATGGGCGAGGGGATGCTGTGTGTGGGGAGGGGGGGGGGGGGTGTCTCCTCTATTAGGGGTGGTATGGGGGAGGGGATGCTCTGTGTGGGGGGGAGGTGGGGTCCTCCTCTATAGAGGGTGATATGGGGAGGGGGGTTCCTCTATAGGGGGAGGGAATGCTCTGTGTGTGTGTGGGTCTCTCTATAGGGGGCAGTATGGGGAGGGGGATGCTCTTATATGAGGGGGAGGGGCGGTCTCCTACTATAGGGGGCAGTATGGGAGGGGATGCTCTGTGTGGGGGAGGGGCGAGGTCTCCTCTATAGGGGGCAGTATGGGGGTGCAGGGGAGGTGCTCTGTAAGGGGGGTAGGGAGGGGAAGGTTCCTCTATAGGGGCAGTATGGCGGAGGGGATGCTGTGTCTGGGGGAGGGAGTGCGTCTCCTCTATATGGGGAGCCAGTATGGGGGCAGGGGATGCTCTGTGTGGGGGAGGGGTCTGCGGTCTCCTCTATAGGGGGCAGTATGGGGGAGGGGAGGTCTCCTCTATAGGGGGCAGTATGGGGGAGGGGATTGCTCCCCCCCCCCCCCCCCCCCCCCCCCCCCCCCCCCCCCCCCCCCCCCCCTGTGTGGGGGATGGGCGGTCTCCTCTATAGGGGGCAGTATGGGGGGAGGGATGCTCTGTGTGGGGGAGGGGGTTCTCTCTATAGGCCGGGCAGTATGGGGGAGGGGATGCTCTGTGTGGTGGAGGAGGGAGGTCTCCTCTATAGGGGGCGGTATGGGGTGGGAATGCTCTGTGTGGGGGAGGGGGCGGTTTCCTCCTATAGGGGGCAGTATGGGGGGATGGGAGGGGATGCTGTGTGGGGGAGGGGTGGTCTCCTCTATAGGGGCAGATATGGGGGGGAGGGGGATGCTCTGTCTGGGGGAGGAGCGGTCTCCTCTATAGGGCGGGCTGTATGGGGGAGGGGATGTTGTCTAGGGGGGAGGGGCGGTCTCCTCTATAGGGGGCAGTATGGGGGAGGTGCCCCTCTATAGGGGGCAGTATGGGGGGAGGGGATGGTCTGTGTGGGGGAGGGGCGGTCTCCTCTATAGGGGGCAGTATGGGGGAGGGGATTCTCTGTGTGGGGGAGGGGCGGTCTCCTCTATAGGGGGCAGTATGGGGCGGAGGGGATTCTCTGTGTGGGGGAGGAGGGGCGGTCTCCTCTATAGGGGGCAGTATGGGGGAGGGGAGGTCTCCTCTATAGGGGGCAGTATGGGGGAGGGGATTCTCTGTGTGGGGGGGGGAGGGGAGGTCTCTCTCTATAGGGGGCAGTATGGGGGAGGGGAGGTCCTCCTCTATTGGGGGCAGTATGGGGGAGGGGTGATATAACACACATTGGGGGAGGGGTATACAGAGTATATATACAGACTGACCCTCCACCACCCCGCACAGGAAGCGCCTGGCCCGGGGGGTGTCCGGCTCCTCCTCTCCGGGGGGGGCGCTGAGCTCTCCGGTGAGGGGGGTCGGGCTGGTTCCGGTCGGTTTGTCCGGCTCGCTGGGGCCGCTCTGTCCATCCTTCTGCACCATGGCGGAGCGCAGTGCGCAGGCGCGGGACGGATCCGGCTGGAACCGGTCTCCTGTCTTCTCTCCTCGGCGCTCCCTCAGCGCCCCGCTCTCCTCCTCCCTCGCAGCGGGGATCGGCTGACTCCCGGCGGCGCTCCGATCTCCTCCTCTCTTCTCCTCTCCCCGTCCCTCCTCGGTGTCGGTCCCGTATGGGGGAGCTCTCCCCTCACTCTACAATCTCCGCTCCTCTGTTTACTCCGCAGTACGCCTGCGCGGGGGGCGGGGCTGACAGGACGACTCTGACAGGCGGTGCGTGTTGGCGGCGGAGGGGTGGAGCCTGAATAACTCTTCCGCCAGACTGCTGGGGGAGGAGAAGGGGTGGAGGGCGGGGCCTGAGAACCTTTTCCGCCAGACTTCTGGAGGAGGGGCCTGAGTACCTCTTCCGCCAGACTTCTGGAGATGAGGGGAGGAGATAGGAGGGAGTGGTCTTCCAGGATAAGTTTATGGAAGGGGCGGGGGGTTACCGGAGGCGTGGTTTTCTATTTCAAATCTGTCACATGGGTGCAGCGCTGGGAGGGGCGGGGCGAGGTGGGATCAGGATGGTCTATGGGCAGTCATTTGTGCAATGCTGTGCTGAGCCTTCCGCCCCCTGATCCTGACTCCTCCCCTTGACCCTTTCCCTGCCACAGCCATTTTGCACAGTCTTTTTAGGCCTGAAGATGACCCAACCCCCTGAATGTGTCGTGTTTTCTGAAAGCAGACACCCCGGAGAATAAAATGGTGGCGTTTCCAATTTCTTATGTCACAAAATATCAGCACAACCATTTAGGAAGCGCAAAAAAAAAAAAAAAAGGCGTTCCATTCATTTTAGGGCGTGAAAGTGCAATAAATCAACTTTTTTCGTAAAATGTAAAAAATACGAAAATAAAATGTTGCGCTGAGTCAATGGATACCAATTATGTCAAACCTTTCAAATTGCGTGCTCCTGTGTCACATGGGGGAGGCGGGACTGGGGAGGGGCCAAGGGGGATCATGATAGGAAAGGCTCCTCTTTGTGCAATACTGTGTAAGCTTTTAACCGCCCGATCTTGACTCCTCCCCTTTAACCCTTTCCTGTGAGAGCCATTTTTGCAATCCTCAGCAACAAACGTCTGTGCCCAATATTTTCCATTGGTGACTCTTTAAAAGCATCAATATACTAGGTTACACTACAAGTCAGTGGTACGTGATGACGTCAGCAGGAGGCTCTGCCCTTTACGCGTTTCGTCATTAAAAGGACATCTTCCTGTTCTGCCAGGTTTGTTGATTTATGTGTGATATACATGTATTATCTATATCAGGGCTTGAAATTTCCATTCGCCCGCTCGCCAAATGCGAGGGGAAATCCCTTTGTGGGGGAGCACAGATGAAACGGGTGGCTTGCAATGCGATCCCCAGGCCCTAGGGATCGATTTGCGTTCCACTTGCGCTCCAAGCCTCATTGTGAAGCCGAGTTCTGGTTTCCGACTTTCCGGTTTCTTCGCCGCTGCTGCGGGGGGGGACACGAGGTGAGGCCCCGCTCTACACCGCCTTGGGGACTTCGAGGCCCGCTCTCACACGCCTTGGGGGACACGAGGCCCGCTCTCACACCGCCTTGGGGACACGAGGCCCGCTCTCCACCGCCTTGGGGACACGAGGCCCGCTCTCCACCACCTTGGGGATACGAGTGGCCCGCTCTCCACCACCTTGGGGGACACGAGGTTCCGCTCTCCACCGCCTTGGGGACACGAGGCCCGCTCTCCACCGCCTTGGGGGGGACACGAGGCCACGCTCTCCACCACCTTGGGGATATGAGGTCCGCCTCCACCGCCTTGGGGGACACGAGTCCGCCGCTCTTGAGGACCGACCGCTCTCCACCACCTTGGGGGACACAAGACCCGCTCTACACAGCCTTGGGACACACGAAGCGAGCTCTACACCGCCTTGGGGGGACACGAGGCCCGATCTCCTCCACCTTGGGGATTCGAGGACCCCTCTCTCACCACCTTGGGGATATGAGGACACTCCAACTTGGGGAACACGAGGTCCGCTCTTCCACCGCCTTGGGGGACACGAGGCCCGCTCTACACCGCCTTGGGGGACACAAGACCCCCGCTCTACACAGCCTTGGGGGACACGAAGCGAGCTCTCCACCGCCTTGGGGGACACGAGGTAGTACCGCTCTACACCGCCCTGGGGGACAGGTCCGCCTCCACCGCCTGGGGACACGAGGCCCGCTCTACACCGCCTTGGGGAACACAAGGCCCGCTCTACACAGCCTTGGGGGACACGAAGCGAGCTCTACACCGCCTTGGGGGACACGAGGCCCGCTCTGCACCGCCTTGGGGGACACGAGGCCCGCTCTACACCGCCTTGGGGGACACGAGGCCCGCTCTACACGGCCTTGGGGGACATGAGGCCCGCTCTACATGGCCTTGGGGGACACGAAGCCCGCTCTACACCACCTTGGGGGACACGAGGCCCGCTCTACACGGCCTTGGGGGACATGAGGCCTGCTCTACATGGCCTTGGGGGACACGAGGCCCGCTTCTACACCCCTTTGGGGGACACGAGGCCCGCTCTCCACCACCTTGGGGGACACGAAGCCCTGCTCTATCACCTCTTTGGGGACACGAGGCCCGCTCTACACGCCTTGCAACCAATCAGCTTCTAACTTCAGTTTGTTCAATTAAGCTGGAATCTGATAGCAGACGTGGTAAACACACGTGGTCAGAAGAGCACCAGCTGCACAGCTCCCGATGTACACAGGACCATGTCTTTTGGCACACTGACTTATGAAGGTCGGTGCTCCCTGTGACTGTGTTTGTTACCATCTGTTGGCATGTTGCAAAACTAGTCTGGAAATTTTTTTGATACCCCCTCGTACTTACAACCGAGAGCAAGACTTTTATATACTGCAGCTTACCAGTCCCGAGGATCGGATCGCACTTGCAGCTCATTCGATTGGCCGCCCTACCCGAAAGCAATCGCTGACCCTGTTGCAGAAGACATCCATGCATCTTGGCGTGTGAAAACGCACATGTTATCAGATGCTTGGGAGTGTGGCAGTAACATAGGCACCACTGCATGGCAGGAAAGCGCAGGATTTTGCACATCCCCGCATCACACAGGTCTGCTGGCTGCGTTAGCTTTCCATTTCCGGCTAAATACATTTTCAGCAAGTACAGAAAATACCTGTCGATCCTGATGGGAATGAAGTATCCTCGTCGCTTCCTGTAAATGAGAAACAATGTTGCAACTTTCCAGCCTTCTTCTGTGAACTACACGACCTGTCCTTTCTAAGGAGGGTGACAACACTGCTCCCCTATAGATGCAGTACAGTGATTTGTGTTGTCACCCTAGGACAGGGAGTGTGTTACTGGTAGACATGTGCAGTTCCTTTCGTTTCGAATCAAAATTCGGACAAATTTTCCGTTATTCGGGAGATTCAGATGTATCCGAACTACTTCGAATGACAATAGTAATTGAGCAAGAAAATTCGAATTCGAAAACAAATTTGAAAAACAAAACAATTCGAATTTGAAAACAAGAATAGAATAAAATAGAAAAGAAAATAAAGAAAATAGAATAGAAAAGAAAATAGAGGAAAAAAAAAAGAACAGAATAGCAAATAAAAGAATAGAACAGAAATTAGAGTAGAAAATAAAGGAATATAGAAGAATAGTTACATAGTTAGTCTGGCTGAAAAAAAGACAAAATCCATCCAGTTCAACCATTATAAAAAAGAAAAAAGTTAATAGAATCCATTGGAAATAGAATAGAAAAGAGTAGAGTAAAAAAGAGCAGAAATAGTGCCCCCATCATTGGTGTCAGTGGGAGGAATGTGCGAGGTGTGCCCCCATTGGTGTCAGTGGGGAGGAATAGGCCCCATCATTGGTGTCAGTGGGAGGAATAGTGCCCCATCATTGGTGTCAGTGGGAGGAATAGTGCCCCATCATTGGTGTCAGTGGGAGGAATAGTGCCCCATCATTGGTGTCAGTGGAGGAATAGTGCCCCATCATTGTGTTCAGTGGGGGATTGCCCCATCATTGGTGTCAGTGGGAGGAATAGTGCCCCATCATTGGGTGTCAGTGGGAAGGAATAGTGCCCCATCATTGGTGTCAGTGGGAGGAATAGTGCCCCATCATTGGTGTCAGTGGGAGGAATAGTGCCCCCATCATTGGTGTCAGTGGGAGGAATAGTGCCCCATCATTGGTGTCAGTGGAAGGAATAGTGTTCCCATCATTGGTGTCAGTGGGAGGAATATTATGCCCCATCATTGGTGTCAGTGGGAGGAATAGTGCCCCATCATTGGTGTCAGTGGGAGGAATAGTGCCCCATCATTGGTGTCAGTGGGAGGAATAGTGCCCCCATCATTGGTGTCAGTGGGAGGAATAGTGCCCCCATCATTGGTGTCAGTGGGAGGAATAGTGCCCCATCATTGGTGTCAGTGGGAGGAATAGTGCCCCATCATTGGTGTTGGTGTCATTGGTGTCAGTGAGGAATAGTGCCCCATCATTTGGTGTCAGTGGAAGGAATAGTGCCCATCATTGGTGTCAGTGGAAGGAATAGTGTCCCATCATTGGTGTCAGTGTGGGAGGAATATTACCCCATCATTGGTGTCAGTGGGAGGAATAGTGTCCCCACCCCATCAGTCGGGAGGGTGCCCCATCATTGGTGTCAGTGGGAGGAATAGTGCCCCATCATTTATCAGTTGCCCCATCATTGGTGTCAGTGGGAGGAATAGTGCCCCATCATTGGTATCAGTGGGAGGAATAGTATGCCCCATCATTGGTGTCAGTGGGAGGATTAGTGCCCCATCATTGGTGTCAGTGGGAGGAATAGTGCCCCATCATTGGTGTCAGTGGGAGGAATAGTGCCCCATCATTGGTGTCAGTGGGAGGAATAGTGCCCCATCATTGGTGTCAGTGGGAGGAATAGTGCCCCATCATTGGTGTCAGTGGGAGGAATAGTGCCCCATCATTGGTGTCAGTGGGGGAATAGTGCCCCATTGGTGTCAGTGGGGGGAATAGTGCCACTTCATTGGTGTCAGTGGGAGGAATAGTGCCCATCATTGGTGTCAGTGGGAGGAATAGTCCAATCATTGGTGTCCCCTTCATTGGTGTCAGTGGGAGGAATAGTGCCCCATCATTGGTGTCAGTGGGAGGAATAGTGCCCCATCATTGGTGTCAGTTGGGAGGAATAGTCCCCATCATTGGTGTAGTGGGAGGAATAGTGCCCCATCATTGGTGTCAGTGGGAGGAATAGTGTCCCATCATTGGTGTCAGTGGGAGGAATAGTGCCCATCATTGGTATCAGTGGGAGGAATAGTGCCCATCATTGGTGTCAGTGGGAGGAATAGTGCCCCATCATTGGTATCAGTGGGAGGAATAGTGCCCATAATCATTGGTATCAGTGGGGGGAATAGTGCCCCATCATTGGTGTCAGTGGGAGGAATAGTTGTCCCATCATTGGTGTCAGTGGGAGGAATAGTGCCCCATCATTGGTGTCAGTGGGAGGAATAGTGCCCATCATTGGTGTCAGTGGGAGGAATAGTGCCCCATCATTGGTGTCAGTGGGAGGAATAGTGCCCCATCATTGGTGTCAGTGGGAGGAATAGTGTCCCATCATTGGTGTGTCAGTGGGAGGAATAGTGCCCCCATCATTGGTGTCAGTGGGAGGAATAGTGCCCCATCATTGGGTGTTAGTGGGAGGAATAGTGCCCCATCATTGGTGTCAGTGGGAGGGAATAGTGCCCCATCATTGGTGTCAGTGGGAGGATGGTGTTTTGTATAGTGCCCCATCATTGGTGTCAGTGGGAGGAATAGTTGTGCCCCTTCATTGGTGTCAGTGACAGGATCTCTTATTCTAAATTGATGCTGACAGTAGGGGGGAGGAATAATATTGCCCCAAGGGCCAGATAAAAGCAAGCAAAGGGCCACATTCCGGCCCCGGGGCACAGTTTGGAGACCACTGATCTAGGCCTTTGCTTCCCAGCTTGACTGGCCAAACCCTCTTTCTAGTCATGGAGGACTCAGCATCACATGCGGGTGCATGAAAATGTCCCCGCCCCCATTGACATTTCCATAGCTAGGCATTATGATATTTACATAACTCCTCCCAAAAGCCCGCCCACTGCTTGCATCAGGCCTTTTGAGAGAGGAGTACTGAGGCAGGGTGCTGTGATATTTGCAGGTAAGCTCTGTACAGGCCCCTCCCAATAAAATATAATCTGCCTGCATTGCATAGAAGAGCACAGAGACCCAGTGGGACTGAAATGAGGAATGCAATGAAAATGGAAAGGTTTTATTTAAAATCTCATCAGTATGTTGATGGGGGGGGGGGGGGGGAACCAGGAAAGTCAATTCATTTTTTAAATAACCATGGCCTTAGCAAGCTGTGCAGATGTATATTTCATGGTAACCTCTGGGGGCAGCACATGTGGAGCCAAATGTACAGAAAGGATTAGGAATCCGGTTTCTTATGAATTTAAATTTGCTTGTTTATCATATTTTCAGCCCAAATATGACTGGGGGAGGGGGGGGGCGGTGTGTCAGTTGGATGTGGGATACAGAGTGTGGGGTAGTGGGGCAGCACGGGGTGCAGAGTGAAGTGTAGGGGGTGCCGAATGTGGGGGATTCAGAATGTGGGGTACTGGGAGATGTAGGGGTGCCGAATGTGGGGGATTCAGAATGTAGGGTACTGGGAGATGTAGGGGGTGCCGAATGTGGGGGATTCAGAATGTAGGATACTGGGAGATGTAGGGGTGCAGAATGTGATGGATTCAGAATGTAGGATACTGGGAGATGTAGGGGTGCAGAATGTGATGGATTCAGAATGTAGGGTACTGGGAGATGTAGGGGTGCAGAATGTGGTGGATTCAGAATGTAGGGTACTGGGAGATGTAGGGGTGCAGAATGAACGTAGGGTGGATGTAGGGGTGCAGAATGGCGGTATGTAGGGTACTGGGAGATGTAGGGGTGCAGAATGTGGGGGATTCAGAATGTAGGGTACTGGGGAGATGTAGGGGTGCAGAATGTGGAGGATTCAGAATGTAGGGTACTGGGAGATGTAGGGGTGCAGAATGTGGGGGATTCAGAATGTAGGGTACTGGGAGATGTAGGGGTGCAGAATGTGGGGGATTCAGAATGTAGGGTACTGGGAGATGTAGGGGTGCAGAATGTGGGGGATTCAGAATGTAGGGTACTGGGAGATGTAGGGGTGCAGAATGTGGAGGATTCAGAATGTAGGGTACTGGGAGATGTAGGGGTGCAGAATGTGGAGGATTCAGAATGTAGGGTACTGGGAGATGTAGGGGTGCAGAATGTGGGGGATTCAGAATGTAGGGGTACTGGGAGATGTAGGGGGTGCAGAATGTGGGGGATTCAGAATGTAGGGTACTGGGAGATGTAGGGGTGCAGAATGTGGGGGATTCAGAATGTAGGGTACTGGGAGATGTAGGGGGTGCAGAATGTGGAGGATTCAGAATGTAGGGTACTGGGAGATGTAGGGGTGCAGAATGTGGAGGATTCAGAATGTAGGGTACTGGAGATGTAGGGGTGCAGAATGTGGGGGATTCAGAATGTAGGGTACTGGGAGATGTAGGGGTGCAGAATGTGGGGGATTCAGAATGTAGGGTACTGGGAGATGTAGGGGTGCAGAATGTGGGGGATTCAGAATGTAGGGTACTGGGAGATGTAGGGGTGCAGAATGTGGGATTCAGAATGTAGGGTACTGGGAGATGTAGGGGTGCAGAATGTGGATGGATTCAGAATGTAGGGTACTGGGAGATGTAGGGGTGCAGAATGTGGGGGATTCAGAATGTAGGGTACTGGAGATGTACGGGTGCAGAATGTGGGGGATTCAGAATGTAGGGTACTGGGAGATGTAGGGGTGCAGAATGTAGGGATTAATGTAGGGAGACTGGGAGGATGTAGGGGTGCAGAATGTGGGCGGATTCAGAATGTAGGGTACTGGGAGATGTAGGGGTGCAGAATGTGGGGATTCAGAATGTAGGGTACTGGAGATGTAGGGGTGCAGAATGTGGGGGATTCAGAATGTAGGGTACTGGGAGATGTAGGGGTGCAGAATGTGGGGGATTCAGAATGTAGGGTACTGGGAGATGTAGGGGTGCAGAATGTGGGGGATTCAGAATGTAGGGTACTGGGAGATGTAGGGGGTGCAGAATGTGGCGGATTCAGAATGTAGGGTACTGGGAGATGTAGGGGTGCAGAATGTGGGTAGATTCAGAATGTAGGGTACTGGGAGATGTAGGGGTGCAGAATGTGGGGGATTCAGAATGTAGGGTACTGGGAGATGTAGGGGTGCAGAATGTGGCAGATTCAGAATGTAGGGTACTGGGAGATGTAGGGGGTGCAGAATGTGATGGGCAGATTCAGAATGTAGGGTACTGGGAGATGTAGGGGTGCAGAATGTGGGGATTCAGAATGTAGGGTACTGGGAGATGTAGGGGTGCAGAATGTGGCGGATTCAGAATGTAGGGTATACTGGTCAATGTAGGTAGATGTGGGGTGCAGAATGTAGGGGACTGGAGATGTAGGGGTGCAGAAATGATTCAGAATGGTACTGGGAGATGTAGGGGTGCAGAATGTGGGATTCAGAATGTAGGGTACTGGGAGATGTAGGGGTGCAGATTCAGAATGTAGGGTACTGGGAGATGTAGGGGTGCAGAATGTGGAGGATTCAGAATGTAGGGTACTGGGAGATGTAGGGGTGCAGAATGTGGAGGATTCAGAATGTAGGGTACTGGGAGATGTAGGGGTGCAGAATGTGGCGGATTCAGAATGTAGGGTACTGGGAGATGTAGGGGTGCAGAATGTGGGGGATTCAGAATGTAGGGTACTGGGAGATGTAGGGGTGCAGAATGTGGCGGATTCAGAATGTAGGGTACTGGGGAGAGGTAGGGGTGCAGAATGTGGGAGGGATTCAGAATGTAGGGTACTGGAAGATGTAGGGGTGCAGAATGTGGGGGATACAGAATGTAGGGTACTGGGAGATGTAGGAGGGCAGAATGTGGAGGATTCAGAATGTAGGGTACTGGGAGATGTAGGGGTGCAGAATGTGGGGATTCAGAATGTAGGGTACTGGGAGATGTAGGGGTGCAGAATGTGGGGGATTCAGAAATGTAGGGGGGGAGATGTAGGGGTGCAGAATGGGGGAGATTCAGAATGTAGGGTACTGGGAGATGTAGGGGTGCAGAATGTGGGGGATTCAGAATGTAGGGTACTGGGAATGTAGGGTGGGAGATGTAGGGGTGCAGAATGTGGGAGGATTCAGAATGTAGGGTACTGGGAGATGTAGGGGTGCAGAATGTGGGGGATTCAGAATGTAGGGTACTGGGAGATGTAGGGGTGCAGAATGTGGGGGATTCAGAATGTAGGGTACTGGGAGATGTAGGGGTGCAGAATGTGGGGGATTCAGAATGTAGGGTACTGGGAGATGTAGGGGTGCAGAATGTGGGGCAGAATGTAGGGTACTGGGAGATGTAGGGGGTGCAGATGTAGGGTACTGGGAGATGTAGGGGTGCAGAATGTAGGGTACTGGGAGATGTAGGGGGTGCAGAATGTGGGGGATTCAGAATGTAGGGTACTGGGAGATGTAGGAGGTGCAGAATGTGGGGGATTCAGAATGTAGGGTACTGGGAGATGTAGGGGTGCAGAATGTGGGAAGATTCAGAATGTAGGGTACTGGGAGATGTAGGGGTGCAGAATGTGGGGATTCAGAATGTAGGGTACTGGGAGATGTAGGGGGCAGCAGGAATGTGGGGGATTCAGAATGTAGGGTACTGGGAGATGTAGGAGGTGCAGAATAGGGGGATTCAGAATGTAGGGTACTGGGAGATGTAGGGGTGCAGAATGTGGGGGATTCAGAATGTAGGTTACTGGGAGATGTAGGGGGTGCAGAATGTGGGGGATTCAGAATGTAGGGTACTGGGAGATGTAGGGGTGCAGAA